AATAATGCTGTGATAAACATAGTTGTGCTGGTAGCTTTAGTATGGTCTTGTCTGTGATCATTTTGGTAAATGCCCAAGAGGGAGCTCTATGTGGAGTCTTTTGAGGAACCTCCATACTGCTTTCCATAGTGGCTGAACAAGTTTACATTCCCACCATCAATGCTGTAGGGTTCCCTTCTGTCCACATCCCCTCCAGCATCTGTTGTTATTAGAGTTCTTGATTATAGCCATTCTAACTGGGGTGAGATGGTGTCTCAATGTTGTTTTGATTAGCATTTCTTTTATGGCTAGAAAGTTGAGCATTTCTTCCTGTGTCTATTGGCCATCCTTCTTTCCTCTTCATAGAAGTTTCTTTTTAAGTCTTTAACCCACTTATTTATCGGGCTGTTGTTTCTTTGAGGATTAGTTGTTGAGGGATATAATTTTTTGAGTTCCAAGTATATTTTTGATATGAGACCCTTGTCCGTTGTATGGGAGCCTCTTCAACAAATGGTGCTGGCAAAATTGGTTAATCACCTGTATAAAACTAAAGCTAGATCCTTATATATCATCCTGCATCAGAATCAACTCCAAATGGATCAAAGACCTTGGAGCCAAAGCAGACACCCTGAAAACATTACAGGAAGGAATAGGAGAAACCCTAGGTCTCCTTGACACAGGCCAAAATGTTCTTAATAGAGACACAGAAACATAACAAATCAAAGAAAGGTTGGACAAATGGGATTGCATGAAATTGCAGAGCTTCTGCATGGCAAAGGACATAGCTAGCAAGATCATTAGAAAGCCCACGGATTGGGAGAAGATCTTCATTAGGCATTCACTTTTTAACATGAAATTCTTGAAAACCCCAAAAAGTGTTGAAAGGAAGGGAATGATATGAATATGAGGTGACAGGAAGCTCTAGCCAGAGTTCTATATATATGGCAACATTTGTTAGGAAAGCAGTGAATTTTGTACCTCTTGCATTGAGCAAGAGAAAGATCTAATTTCAATGGATGAAAAAGGGTAGGGAGGCAACCAGAATTGAAGTAATGCTGAAAGATATCTGTGCCACAGGAAGCAAGCAAAGGCAGGGTCTGGAGGCTTAGAGCAAACAAGGTATTATGATTCCATGAAATTAATGATAAGCTTCATAAAGAATCTTCATTGAATTGGAGCACAGAGGTAAGATTCCTGCCTAATTGTGCAAATATGTACTTATGGAAAAAAGGGGAAAGCTATCAAGAAAGGGAGTCAGGTACAAGAACTCAATATAGAAATACAATAGTTGTAGCTGATGCACATGATGGCCTTAATCTATCTGATAAGATGGAAATCCAGCCACTAACATTAAATGATCAGCTTAGGACGCACAACAACAAATGGTACCAGATCTGGAATAGAAATCATGGGAGTCCATTATCAAAGAAACTATGGATGCTTTTTTATTGTGAAGCTTTCTCTGCCTCCTATTGAAACAAAGACCCAAGTATTCAAAGCCTCATCATGACAAAATGTTAGGGCCCTAGCGATAAAGGAGGAAAACTTCAGAATTGAAGGAATGGGTATCACACTTGCATAGAAAGTCTCAATAAACTTGGAAGGTTGAAGACAGGGAAAAACACTCAAATTTCAAAAAGAAAGTTATTTAATTCAAGATTCTTGCCCATGAAATCTGAAACTAATATTAACTATGAGAGTAGAATAACAAATTTGAGACAGGCAGTGTCTCAAAAAAATGCATTTCTCATCGTGTCTTTCGTAGGAGAGAATCAGGATACTCAGCAAAATGGAGTTGAGTATTAAGAAAACAGAAAGAGCCTAAACCATTGTGAATCCGACACAAAAGAATGATGTGTGCATGTGGGTCTGAGAGGGACAGAAACATAGACAGGTCATAGGGAGTAAAAAGCTGACATGTCATCTAATGTCCTTGAGTATTAGGAACAATTATTATTAGATCATGTCAGATTTTTTGGAATATTCAACATTTGCCACAGGTACATGGAAAACTAGCCCAATGAAAGAGTATTGATAAGAAATTATTATTGGTTGGTTATCATTGATAAGAAATTATTGATAAGAAACCGAGGTCTGCCAAATAAAAGTACAAAGAAATCAAGATTTTGTTTGAATTCATAACATTTACAAAACAATAGCTGTTAGTATAACCAAAAGTAGAGACTAAATCATAATGATATAGTGAAGGAAAGTGGAGAAATGTTGTAAAATAGATAGATCCCAAACTACATGACAGGAAATTCATTTAAATCATCTAAATAGAGAAATAGAAATTTCATCATCTCATTTAATGACAAAAACTTAGATGTTATAAGAAATCATAAAACTAGTGTGAGTTAGCAAAATGAATCAAGAAATGTAGAATGTACAAGATGCCAATAGACCATAGCAGTGATCCTAGTTTTTTGGGTAGCTGAAGATGGATGAATTCTGGTTTGAGGCCAGCTGAGTAGAAGCTGAATGTGGTGGTGTACATCTGTGATTTCAGGAATATTGGGAAGCTTAAATGTAGGTGTAGCAAAGCTTAAGCATGAACCAATACCACATACCAACAAGACCCTCTTCTAAGAATGATGAGTAAAAGCAAAAACTAGAGGTGTGGCTAAGCAGTCCTCTGTCAGTTTTGTAAGTGCTAGACCCTGAGTTCAAATTCCAGTTCTGCCCACTCCCAAATTTAGTACTATTGTTATTCTATTGTTTTCTCCTTTTAACTATGTATTTATTTACTTTAACAACAATAAAAATGATGTAAAATGTGGAAATTTAACCTTCCTGATAATTTTGAAGTCCATGTTTTATTTAATTATTCTATATTGATATATAGAGTCTGGTATGTAGAATCTATACACTGTCTATTAATACAAACAAGTATATCCTCTAAGCATCTTAAATCATAAGGTTTTTGTTTTACTCACTTGCTTTTGTTTTTCCTTAATCTTTTTACTTTCAGGGTGATTCTGGAGGACCATTAGTGGTAAGAGATCCTAACGGTACCTGGTATCTCATGGGAATTGTGAGCTGGGGTGATAACTGTGGCCAAAAGAACAAGCCTGGAGTCTACACACAAGTGACCTATTACCGACGCTGGATTGCTTCAAGAACAGGCCTCTAACTCACCGTGAAATCTAAACAAAGAGAGCTGCATGCAGGACGCACATATGTGAAGACTCAGACATCCAACAGGCATTCAGTACAATAAAGTGAGCTTGGATGACTAGCAGCATGAAACCATGACATGATTTGTTTTACAATTGTTTAGTCAGTTGGTGATCCATGGCCAAGATAAAAGGGCTTTTTATCTGTAAATTAATGTCAGTTTATCCTAATGTGAAAAATATAGCAATGATATTCAGCTCTTTAAGTCAAATAAATTGGAGGATAAAGAAGACACAATGCAAATTCTCTGTTAGCCTTGAGATTTTAAAGCAAAGTGTCAAGGGTGTCTCCTTAAGTGAGAAACTTCTTGAACTCTCAGAGTTCAGAAGAATCATATAATCCCATATGATTTCTCCAGACTTCAAGAATAATACTATTCATTTCCTTTTCTTCCTGGTTTTCTAGAAATTTTCTACCACAGGAAATAGCTTGCTACTTCTAAAAGCATGTGAAGAATTTTTATAATATATATATAATATATATAGGAAACAAAGTCGAGTAGTAAATTAATGACTTTTTAATCTATAGCTGTGAAACCTCTCTAATGTCTTCATGGATTTTTTAACACACACAGAGATCTCTAGTGTGCATAGACATCCTGACTAATGAATAATAGATATAATAATTATTTAATCAAAATATATTTTTGTTGTAAAATTTTTTGAGAAGTTGACAATAAGATCATGAGCAGTCCCCAGACAAGGATTCAATAATTTGACATTTTAAAAATGCAGTTACACATTTTCATCGCCAGGGGGAGATTTTTAGCTATAATTATTTTTAAAAGTTGCATGCTCAAAAACAATTCAGAATGTACAGTCATGCTTAAAATCTGCCACCACCCTGGAGCCCTAACATCTATAGAAGAAGAGGAGAAGGAGGAGGAGCTTTTCTTGTCTTACTAATTATACAAACATTTACCACATAAAATGCATGGGCAAAATAGTCTAAATTAACATGCTCAGTTAAGTGTTTCACAAAGACATTAGGAGAGTTAGGCTGCTACATTCCAGAGCACAACTAGATGAGGGTCTTGTAGAAATGGTACTTTGCTTGGCAGAACCTGTGAAACTTCAACGTTCGTGTGCTGAGGAATCTCAGGTAGTCCAAATTAGCCAAAAATCATTGGAACAGTGAAATTATTTTAGAATAATTTCCCTATTTGCTCTTGAGAAGACATAAATAATCCTAATGCAATCTATTCTTACCTAATGCAATCTGAATGGGATTTATAATTTGTCCACCAACAATTAATTCATAATTTAGACTAATAGAACTTTGAAGTTTAAGAAAGATCCCATAGGTCATACAAACAAACACAGTTATAGTGAAGAAAACTGAAGCTGTTGGTAGCTGGCATTCCTGTGTATCATTTTTCACATGACCTTTTCCTAACTATCTTTATGATGGTCTGTATTTATTGAATCAGTAGGTCTATGAATATCAGTAAGTGGTATTAAATCAGTTTTTAATTAGGAAATTCTTAAGGCAATTAATGATTTTGAGTGATTCACTTAGGCAGCTAGCTGCCAATTCTCTGAACCGTAGCCACATAAATTATTATGTATTATGGTGGTAAGGTGAAATTTTCTCTTTGAATGCTAAGAATTAGGAAATGATTTTAGAGTTGCAAATTATGAACTTGTAAACTTGTGTAGCATTTCATTTTGGGTCAGATGTAAGCAAATGTTGATATATCATTTCAAATCTAATAAACTTGGTGGTAAGAGCACTCTACAAACAATATTACTGAGTCTGTGTTAGCCTAGTAGTGCAAGCCTATTAACTGTGGAAACGAATGACATGCCTTTTAGTTTGAATCATTTTGAAGCCAGGTTTCTTAACGTTGATGCTATTGTCAGAAAACCCCATTGTTTTAAGGGGCTGCCCTGTTCACTGTCAAGTGGTTAGTAATATTCACTAAATGCTACAACATCCTTCTTCCCCCAGATTATGAGAACTAAAAATAACACAAGATATTGGTAAATGTTTCCTAGGAAACTGAAGTACATCCTATTGACAACAACTATTTTGAAGGAAGTTGATCACTTTTAGAAATGTGAAACTCAAAAATACGACATTAAGCAACAACAACAAAAAAAACTGTACTGATCAATCTCAACCTTCCCTATTCAGTCCCTATAAGAACACTAGCATAACCAGCTGGTCCTGCAGTCAATAGTTACCTCAAATACAGACTGATCTCTCCATACAATTTGTTTCTAGCATTTCTATCTGCCCAACATGCACCAGAACTTGGGGTTCAATCCTTAACACTGCAATAAATCAAACAATTTCTAAACCAGAGTACTGCCATACAGCCCCTAAAACTTTACTTTGAAAGGTAGAGTTTTACAAAAATCATTCTCTCATGAAGTTTCACTTCCTTGACCACAATACACAGTATATTCTACTTCATAGATCCATTATATATGACAAAACATGGATATAGTAAAATCTGAAACAGAAGCTTTATGAAAACAATACCCTTCCTGATGTATCTAAATCTCACATCATGATTCCATTCTATTCTTCTTTGTAAAAGAGCATACCATCAGCGAAACTAATTTTGTAATTAGCACTTCAGAACTAAAGACTAGACCAATCATGCACTATTATTGACATTGAATTATTATACCATTATCATCTTCTCTACCTTCAATTTCACTGTACAGTATTCACTTAGCAAATCACTGCCAGGTTATAATATTGTTTGATATTTTCATTTCCATATTCTCAGACCTCCACTCATTTTTCCTCTGCCTGAAAAAGAGTCTAAATCCATTTGCCGATTGCATTTAAGATTCTTTTATTAAGATCTACAGAAACTAGTAAAATCTTTATTTTGCTGCACCCTTTATATGTGTATTATATGCTGCAATTTTTATATGTGCATTAGCTCTTAAAATATTTTCAATCCTACAAGGTTAAAGGCCACTTTATTAGGCTTAGGCATGGTGGTACATGTCTGTACTAGCAGGAAGGTATAGGTAAGAGGAATGCAGTTCAAAGCCAGCCCGGAGCAAACACACCAAGCTCTATCTGAAAAAAAAAATGTCTAAAGCAAAAGGCCTACAGTTATGGCTTACGGGATTGAGGACCCAACTAGCATCTAACTTCAGTTCAGCTGTCAGTTCACCAACACACATAAGGAAGACACACTGCAGCCAGAAATCTTCGCAATAAGAATTCTCATCTTGCACTGTGGAATGGCACCTTCCCTCTGCCATTACCCATGAGATGGAGCTCTGGGCTGGAGCCCAGTGTCACACGGCCAGCCCACGGTAGTGGGCTCAGCTCTCCCACGATCGAAGCCGCAATTCACTGAGGAGAGAGACAGCAAAGGCTTCCTCAGCCTTGTAAGGTCCTGGTAGCGCATCCACCCCCTCACACACACATCCCCCCCAAAAAAGAAAAGGAAAAAATCTGCCTTATTATTTCCTACAGTATTTAGAATATTATTCAACACGTCTTAGGTAAATTTAAAGGAAAGACTATATTACCCAGTGCTGATGGTTTATGCCTATAATCCTAACTACTGGGAGGGTAGAAATCCGACTTTCCACTCAAGGCTAGCCTGCGATCTCAGCCCATCCCATACTGGGGTGCATTGGGTCACACTTGTCATTTCAGCTGTGTGTTAGGTGGAGACAAGGAGGGGCACAATTTCGATTGGTCTTGGCAATAACGTATTTTTTTTAAGTATGATAGCCCCCTACCTCATTAGAAAAGGCTTGGCATGCTGCTACAAGCCTGTTATCCCAACTACAGTGGGAAGCATAAATAGGAAGCTTTAGCATTCGCATAAAAGCAAGACGCTATGACAAATACAACTAGTGCAAAAAAAAATGGTAGGAAGTGTGACTCAAGTTTCAGAGAGCCTGACTAACAAGAGCAAAAGCCTGGGTTTAATCCCCAAGATGGCAAAATATTAAAATTAACAGACTATGCCTATGAAGTAACTCATTCCCAACTGTAACGACCCTTCCTCCGGCACCTTTTCCCTTACTGAACTGTTTGACCTATGCAGTCTGATTCTGCACTTTTGAATGTTCCTAAACACTGCCTGCTCTTTGCCTACATCAAAAGAAACCAAACAGGAGCAGACAGGCCCTCCAACTCAAAAACATTTCCCCTATGTTCTTCAGCAGCTACATCTGAGGATCCAGGTATATCTGGAAGCAAACCTTTGCTGTACAACATTTCTTGCTTCTTTTTCTGCTTCTGTTTAATCTATCAGTATTTGCCCTTTCTTCCTCATTCTTCATAACTACAGACTGTTCCTTAATCCTCAACAGCTATCACAGTTATGTGCTTAAAAACTTTGCAAAAATCAAGATGAATCAGTAGAACTGTATCAATAGTACTAAAGACCAACTTTTGAATTCTGTACCATTTAAATCCATGAAATTTGAGTAAACAGTAAGCAGTAAACATAATATGATTGGGCCTGAACAGAACTAATAATAGACATCCTCTAAGCAAGAAGAAATTTTCTTTTTTTTTTTTGTTAGTACTGGGGTTTGATTCAGGATCTCATATCTGCTCAGCTTCCTTGCTCAGAGAAGGTACTCTACCACTTAAACAACACCTCCAGCCTGGCTTTTTGCTTGCCATTTTGGAGATGGAGTCTCATGGGCTTTTCTACCCAGGGCTAAGCAGAGAACCTCCAAATCTCACACTTCTAAGGTGTGAGCCAAGGAGGTTTGGCCATTCTTTCATTAAAAACAATAGTTTGGATACTAATTCTTGCCAGTTTTATTTTATTAGTGTATATTAATTGTATAAAGAGATTTCATTGCATCATTTCAATGAATGCATTGTAGTTTCCTTTGGTCATATTCATTCCCTCTATTACTCTTTCTCATTCTCTCCTTTTTTATATAGACTAATGGATTTCATTCCAGTGTTTTCATATGTGCAGATGGTATCATCATTTCTTTTCACCTCACCCTT